TGGTTTTTGTTTCCTATTGTGGTTTTTAGATCGTGAGGTGGTAGTGGTGTTGGTATGGCAGCAATGTGGTCCTGGATTTTGTTTCTGTTTCCGTTTGTGGTTTTCAGATCGTGACGTGGCAGAGGCGGCAGTGAGGTGATGATGGTTGTAGGGTCTTGGCGATTTTTTATCTATTTTTTTTGGTATATCTGGTTGTGATCGTGGTGGTTTCTAGCTGCGGTGAAGGTAAGTGATGATGGTGGATCTGGTGGTTGCTTGGGTGCTGTTAGTATAGTGGGGCGGTGGACGGTGGTGGTGATACTGTTAGAGACAGCGTTGAACTGATGGCACAACTGTTTACGGTGGTCATAGATTAAACTAGTTGTGACCGCATAATAGACTATCCATGACCTTAAAATTCAACAATTTGTGACTAAAAATTAATCTATGACCTGTAATTTTTTGATCCGTGACCAATAAAATAATCTGTGACCTATAAAATTATTGATTTGTGATCTCGAAATAATCTGTGACCTGCAAATTTTTTGATTTGTGATTTGTGACCGATAAACAAATTGTGACCTATAAAATTTTTGACATGTGCTGTGATCATTTGAAAATAACTCGTGACTATGAACAAAATTCTGATTTGTGATCTGGACTGTGACTTGTGACTTGAGTTGTGACCTGACTGTGACTTGTGACCTGAGTTGTGACATGGGTTGTGACTTGTGACCTGAGTATTCGGAATCGGAGCAGACGCCGAAACGATCACCTGAATCGGAGTAGTCGAGCGGAGCAGTCGTTGGAATCTGCATTGGAGCGGTCGCCGGAGCAATCGCCGAAATCGGAGAGATCGCCGGAACGGTAGGGTGGGGGTAGGTTATATATGTGTGTGTGTGTAGGTTTAAAAAACTTATTTTTAAAATGTGAAAATTGTTTTGTTATTTTTGAAATAAGGAAAAGATAAAGTAAGAGAAATGAATTTTTCCCATGAAATTTTTGTAAATGGAGCATAATGGTCCGATAATATAGCGGCCCATTTCGAACTTGGGCTACTAATAGACGGGAAATTAACCCAATACTAAGCTAGGCCGAAAACCATTTCTTGATGATATTATGTGAAAGTACATAGTAATTCATGTTTTCAGCAAGAGAATATGACCATATCATGTTTGATTTAAGACATGTAAAACTAAATCGAATCGACATAGTTTTTATATTTCAATTAAAAAATTACTAATATTATTCAAAAACTTTATACTAAAAAAAGAAGGGCCAATTATAGAAAATTGAACTTCATTGACCCAAAACATTGAATTTAGTGTTTATAATTAACTTTGAACGGTTACGGTTATTGTATTACTATATTATAGTTCTTTTTTTTTCCCCCTTCAAGGATGTCTGTCTTCCTCAAAAGCTATTCGCACCTAAAGACGCAAACCTCTTTCTTGGGGTACGCAATATTGAGTCATGTTTTAAATTTTGGTTTACGTGTCATTGACGTTCAAAGGAAAAAAAAAAGTGTGGTTCAAGGACTTGCTATCATGTACAAGTTTCCAGAGGGAGTTAGTGATGCTTAAACTGCAAGCATTATTTTTTTTTTGCGTCACTACTAAGTACCCATTGCTTTTTAGAAAAATTGCAGCATCGGTCCCTAAATTTTTCGATTTTTGTAGGTTTTATCATAATCTTCAATTTATGTCAACGAAGGTCTGTAATCATTCAATAATATGCAATTGGAGTCCAAAATCATCAATTTGGCTGTTAATTGACAAAGAATAGTAGAATTTGACCAAATTAAAAAGGGTAAGATTGTAACTTTGCATTTTATCCCATTTATCCCTTAAAATAATTAAAATAAAATAAAAAGAAAAGAAAAAAATTTGTTCGACGGCCAAGACACCACCGCCCACGGCCACCACCATCCATGCCAACACAAAGCAAGACCTCCCAAATCACAATCACAGATTATTTCTGTACTGAATTAGGCAGGTTTAGTTCAAAATCAAGAATTTCATTTCACAAACAGCACTCTCTGTACCTCCACCACAAACAAACTACGCGGCTCACTATTTTATTTGAGCCAATAACATGAGTTACTTGTGAGTCAACAACAAACTAGCTCGCTAGCTAACTTATGCAAGTCGATTGTTATCCTGCTCCATTTATGCAAGTAACTCTCTTCAGACGCAAGCTGGCACACGTAACTCTCTCCAAACACCAGTGAGCGGCTCACCCCACTTTCTCACCCCCTAAATCTATCATGCTAATCGTTTATCGTTTGAAACAAGTTTATCTAAACCTGTTTTTATGTCCTTGAATCAAAAACCAAGCAAGAAAGATGAGATTTTTCTCGCTCTTTCCTAATAGTAAGGTTTAAAATCTTAATTTTGATCACTATTCTATAGGTGAGAAATTTCGTCAGTGTCTATCATAACCTATTAAAAAACTTTATTGGTCCAAAGTGTGAGAAACCGCCCACTTGTCCTTTACATTTTTTAAAGGCCAATTCTTAAATTAAAAAGTCTCTTTCAAATTAGACAATAGAGAGATTAAATCCAAGATTAGAAGCTAATCTTCATTAATAAATACAAATCAGCAGAACTTTACACCGAAAGAGAAAAACAGTAAACATATGCTTAATACTCTCTCTCTCTCTCTCTCTCTCTCTGTGGAAATTATTTTTTTTTTTATTTTATAGATATAATAAAGAATTAAAAGGGGACAGGTGGCGCACTCTGAAAAGTTCTATTATCATTAAGTTTAATTAAGATGATTAGCACGTGTCGTGCACTTAGAGCCCTGCCTTGTAAATTAGGACATAGGGATTAAGACACTAATTATAATATAAGATGCAAGCCTCCAGTTTGGGTTTCCCACTTGCCATGGATGGCTTGAACGTCAAGGAGGGTGACAACCCTTTTTTTCCTCTAGAGGGAGGCCATAAATTCTATTCGCGATAATTATATTTTTATTTTAATGTGAATATAGTAGACAATTTTTTATTTGTTAGGGACTAATATAGTAGACAAATTGCAGCAATAGTCCCTAACAGATTAAATTTTACAATTTTAACTCCATTTCATTTCTTCGTATTAATCTCCGCGGTTTTTAAAAAGTAGATCACTATTAATGGTTTCCATATCTTTAAAGGATAAATACAATTTTTGCTTGCCCCACCACATTATAAGTGCACGCTAATAGCAAAACGTGTAATTGAAAAAGAGTTTAAAAAATTAGGTACAAAAATGAGCTTTTGAGACCAAATTAAAAGAAAACAAAATTTAATCTTCCATATGTTCATATACAAAGAATAATTGCAAAATGGGGTAAATAAAACTGTACCGATTTGTTTGAAGCCGGAATTACATCGATATAAAATTTGAAACAAACTCCAAGAAAACGAGGCAATTCGAATCAACGAGTCATGTCTTATGAAAATGTAACTCGGTATTGAACAGAGTTTCTCAAATTCATGTATTAGAGTTAACCCTAATTGAAATCCATTAACAAATTTTAATCAAAGAAGTGCAGCAGCAACTCGTAATTTAGAAAATCAAAAGAAAAAGAAATGAATTTGAAATCCTGAGTTTTCGTAAACTAAGTGCTAAGAAACAAATGTTAGTCGTAAAAGTGTAAAATGGGATAAAAGTTGGAATATATCCTTAATGTTTTAAGTTAGGATAAAGCCACTCAAACAGGGAATTCAGACAGGATTTGAAACCAGATACACGTGGTGCTTCTTGACTTGCCGGTTTTTGTTTTAAATTTTCTCATCCCCCAATGTTTTGATGCCAACTGTATCTGTACGCAATTTCCTGATTTTTTGCCCTATTTTTCTAGCATTGTTCTTTAAGTTAATAATGGGGGTCCCACTTGTGCAGATTCTGATGTCACGATGTCCTAATTCTCAACATTCGAAAGTCAACTTTGCCAAATTAATGAAGCAATCTTTTATATTTTATTTATAGATATTTTAATGCTATTTGTATTTTCTTTTTGAATTTCCTGCCAAATATTTGACTCAAACGCTTGAACATGAATGCGTATTGTATCTAATATAATTCAAAATAATCAAAGAATGTAAATAATAACCAATTTTATTAATTCGCTGTCTTATCTACAATTCTGAACCAACGCTACTAGTCAAGGATTGCCAGCTCGTTGTAGAAAGTGATTTCCACATAAATATTATGAAAACGTAGGATTTAATCTTAAAAAATCAATCTTAAAAAGAGGAGTATCACAAATTTTTATAAGTTGATCTATATTTTCATTTTTATTCGATTTGAAATTTTATCCATTAACATGTCACTGCAAGATGGTGACTCGCATGCTCATTTTTTTACGTCATAATTGGATCGAATTGCTCGTTAAAATTTAATAGACTCTGATACCATATTAAAACTTAAGATTTCATTTTAAAATAAGAGGAGTATTTCAAATCTTTATAAGTTGGTCAATGCTTTCATGTAAGACATACCGATTTATATATTCTTTCAAGTGCCTATAAGAATTTTATAAATATTATGAATATATAAAGTCAACACAAATAAAAGGAAAATAGAAGGAGAAAAAAAACCCAATAAGAAAAATAAATTCTTATAACCAGTCCAAAAGTATACTTTCTGAAGATGAAATCAGAACCATCTAATTCAAGACAATCCTCAATCACCTGAAAGTCGTCCACACCAAAGTATAACCCTAATCCACTTCTGGCCAATAACCGTCTTACATGTCACTGAACAGTTGGGGTTTTTCAAACGTTTGACAGAAAGTTTGGACTGTTTGGTAACCACAAATATAGGCAGCACCGAATTTGCATACAACAAAAATTTATATAAATTTTGTGGGCAAAAATTATTATTAGAAAAACATGTGGCTGAGAAAATCAATCCCATGATGACGTGGCAACCACATTTTGAGGGCTTTAAAGCGGCGGATCAAAATCAAACCCCCCAATATTGCCAACAACGCCTCAAGAATTTACTTCAGAATTTTATTGAAAAGAATTAGAAATGAAGGAAGTGAAGGAGCCGGAGATTAAGTTATTTGGGAGGAAGATCGTGTTCCCGGAGAATGGGAAAGTCATCGCCGGCGACCCCTCCGACGAGTTTTCCGACGAGAGCAGTCATGGGATGGAGTCGGATCGGTGTTTGGATGATGAAAAAGTGATAGGAACTCAACAAGGGGATGAAGATACTGGAAAATCAGATGAAGAAAAGCAGCAAAATAAGGAGGTAAAACCTTTGATTTTTTTCACACACAACACACACTAAGTGATAGATACATAACATTTATGTATTTCTCTGGAAATCTTTTGAGGACCCAGATGCTAGAACACCAAGAAAATTAATGGGTTGATTTTATTTTCTGAATGTCCAGAGGATCTTTAAGCAAATCTTGCATATGAAAAATCTGGGGTTAATGGGGGATTTTGTGTTCTTAATATTTTCATTATTTCAGTGTCATTCTCCAGATTTTTTATGCAGTTACTGTGATAACTGACATGTTATGCAGTATTGAACAAAATTTTACGTACTGCTGTTTCCTCTACCTTACTCGTATCTATGGAGGATCAAGAATTTTCATTTTTCAAAATTTCTTGCATTTATTAGAGTTCCAGAAAGTTCTATGACCTGGAAGCATTGGAATTTTTCCACTTAATGGTATCGATTCTTCCTAAGCTTTGTGTCCATTTGAATCTATTGCTTTACTCAAAAGGTGTTTATTCTGGATAGTTCTGCATCCACCTTTTTTTTCTTTCCTGTTATATCTAAGTTTCTTGATAAAGATGTGAGCATCTGAATATATTCCTTGCACAAAAGGGTCAATACTTGTCGATTGCTAAGTATTACTGTTTGGAGTCTCTCTGTAATTATATTTCTAATATTGTGGTATGATATTTTTGCTCCTTTTTGGATTACTGAATGCAATTATTGGATTTGATAAGTGCGAATAAGAATTTGTTCAACAGTATCAATGTTTTATGTACTGTCCATTAAGTGATTGTTGTGGTTCGTCTGTGTCCCATAGAATAAAAATTAGAACCTATCGAAAAGAAACCCAACTATGCCTGTAGCTGATTGGAATTCATTTGTGAATTTTTAGGACGAAATAGCTGGAGAATTCTGCGAAAGTAAGGCACAAGATGATGATGAACATCAAGCTGAGTCTAAGGAGTCAGGGAATCCTAATACTGTGTTAGAATCAGCTGACAATTCCAAAACTCCCTTCATTGTTGAAGATGATGCATCAGAAAATCCACCCAAAAACGAAAATGATCAAAATGATTCGACAAATCCACAACAAAAGACTCTGAAGAAGCCTGACAAACTTCTTCCCTGCCCCCGTTGCAATAGCATGGATACAAAGTTTTGTTACTACAACAATTACAACGTTAATCAACCTCGCCATTTTTGCAAGAGCTGTCAGAGATATTGGACGGATGGGGGTACAATGAGGAATGTTCCAGTGGGAGCCGGTCGTCGTAAGAACAAGAATTCTACCTCTCATTGTCATCACATTACAATCTCTGAGGCCCTCCATGCAGCAAAAATTGACATTCCTAATGGTTTTCATCATCCGACATTTAAACCAAATGGCACTGTCCTGTCGTTCGGTCCTGATTCACCTCTTTGTGAATCTATGGCTTCTGTTTTGAATCTTGCAGAGAAAAAATTACCGAATGGTATTCAAAACGGGTACTGTAAAATGGATCGAGGTGCCTCGGTTTCTTGCAAAGGTGGAGAAAATGGCGATGATTGTTCTAGTGGTTCTTCTGTGACAACATCAAATTCAACAGGAGATGGAGTAAAAAAGGTGCTCCAAGATCCGACGATGAAAAATATAGATGGCTTTCCTACTCCAGTTCCTTGTGTTCCTGGGGTTCCTTGGCCTGTACCTTGGAATTTTGCTGTTCCTGTGCCAGCCATTTGTCCTCCGGGATTTCCCATGCCATTCTACCCGGTACCCTACTGGAATTGTGGTGTTCCTAGTGCTTGGAATGTTCCAGGGTTAGCAGTTCCATCTCCAACAGCAAATCAAAAGAAATCAAGTTCTGGTCCAGAATCACCATTGGGGAAGCACTCAAGGGACGGGGAATTGATTAAGCCGAGCTACCGAGAGGGCAAAGAATGTGCGTCCAAGAAGAATTCAGGAAGCTCGATTGTAATTCCGAAAACTTTGAGGATTGATGATCCTGATGAAGCTGCAAAGAGTTCCATTTGGGAAACACTAGGGATCAAGTATGATTCCGTTAGCAGGGAAGAACTTTTTAAAGCCTTGCAACCAAAAGGCGACGAGAAAAAATCTCTTGTTGCCCCCTCCCGTGTATTGCAGGCTAACCCTGCTGCATTCTCTCGATCGATTAGCTTCCAGGAGACTGCCTGAAGGGTTGTTTTTCTCAAGTATCATCAAGAAGTTAAAAAGCTGTTGACTCATCTCTTGAGAAAATCTTTAACCTCGACTGACTTCTTGGGATGATAATTCAAAGCCTCAAGTAGACTACTCTGGTTGTTCAGTAAAGGCAGCAGTTAATGTCCCTGCAAAAGGAGGCCTATTTTGGAGAAGCGATAGCAAAAACTACAGTTTGTACCTTGTAACATTAAGCAGATGTCTTTGTTTTACCTTTGGTGAGTGTGTTTTCATGTACATTGTAGAATAATACTGACAGAAGGAGAGTGAAAGATATTTAACTAAATGCCGTGTAATGTAATTTAACTCTTTTTTGAGTCCCCTAAAAAGTAGTTTGAAAAGTGGCTCTTTTTTCCTCAATAATAGGGACTTTCCTTGTGCTACTTTTTAATATATGAATTTCATGTTTCTGTAAACTGTGTCCCCTTTCTAACATTTATGAGCGTTGCTTCACTTTTTAACACATGGCATGTTTCGTATGTTGAACTACGGTTAATCGAAAAGGACTAAAGAAAAGAATCGAATTAAAGTTTAGTTTTATGGCACATTTGATGAGGATTATTAAAGAGAATTGAATGCTATTAAAGAAAATACTGGTTAAAAATTTCTTCCTCGTGTACTATCTAACATGTACTAGAACTAACAAAGTGGAAATGTAACGTAGTCTATTCTTGATAAAAAAATCCCATTTTCAGGTCTATCACAAGCTAAAAGAAAATCAAGATTTGCTTTATCCCGATCAAACGAAATTATGAATAATATACCTTTCGAGAGTATCAATCGGTGACATAAATCGTAAACACATGTACTTGAACACAAGAAACTTGACTCTTTCAAACATATATGAACAAGTGGTAAAGAATAGTTGATAACTTAAGACTTTAATGCAGTTGGGATATTTCATATTTAGATTAGATTTTACTTGATATTCATCTTTTATGAATATGGTGAGTTTCAGAAAAAGACAAGTACCTTTCCTTTTCAAAAACCAAACAATTTCAGAAAAAAGGGAACCATGATTTGAAAGTTCATAACTTTCTCTCTCCTCTCTCTAAAATCCTTTTTCCTTTTCTACAAATATATTTAATGCAATTATATTATCAGATTATGGATCACATGTTGAGATACTTTTATATTTCAAGCAAATGTAAACCACATCTCATTGAGAAGATTAGTTGCAATGGGGTCCCCAAAATTCCATAGGCAGATAGTGCCTTATGTTTTTTTTTTTTTTTTTCCAATTTGCGTTCGTTTTTTCTTTTGCCCTTTTCCTTTTGGAGACATTTATTGAGGATTTTCCTAAAAGTGAGAACTTTCACTTTTAATAGGCTTGGGGTGGGGGTGGGGGTGGGGGTGGGGTAACATATAGTTCAGCTAAGGGATATGATCAAGGATTAATCCATTTGTACATAATGGATTACCCCCATCTCACATAATGCGCAGGATCCGTGTGTATTTAAAAATTTTGACAATTTGATCCGCATCCCCATTGTGAGTAGTAGGTAAAAGATTCGATAAAAAATTCGGTACATGTAGCATGATCCTATGATCAAATTGTAGCCATTCTCCATTTGAAAAATCTTACAATTAATATTACAAATTTCAAGTGCATCAAAAAGGGAAACAATCATTGCAAGCTCTCATGAGTCGTGGGGATCATTTTTTGTCTATTAGTTATATGCAATTTTGTTGGTAAAAAGTTCAACTAGCTAGCTGCAAAGCTAACTCGAAGAATTATAATTCCAAATCCTATGTTCAAAAGAAGAGTCTATTTTATTGTAGTGATATTCATGATACGTGTGTTTGTGTTTTAGGTTGTATTTTAAAAGACTTATCTAGGTTTGGGGCTTGGATATAACGTTCCACCTTGCGTCTAGATGGAGAAATAATCAGTCAACTCTACTTTGACTACCTAAGGTGCACTCCTTTATTGAGCTAAGCCTTCCCGCTTTTTTTCTTCTGTGCCGTCATTTTTTAACCATCTTTACCTATGTGGGTCACGCGGGTACTTCATTGTTGATGAGAATGAAGTCACATGGGAAAACGATATATTCTCCTCCCCTAACAGCAAGTTCTAAAGTAGGCTCGCCGCCTTGATGCATTCCCTTCTCTCCCCGGAATCGTCCCACACAGAAAGAAAGAGCGAAAAGAATATTCCAAAACTTCTCCGTTACAAAACCGTGAGATTTTCATCTTTATATATTTTTTTATTTTGAAGTTCAATTCAATAAATATGCAATCATTGCTAAAACTTAACAAGGAAATAAGTTCAACAAAAAGATCCACTAGCCCAAACCAGCTTATGAACATAGTTTTCTTTACCTAAGAAAAAAAAACTATTGATTTGGACTATTTATGATTTTGGAAATTATGTTTTTATTGATCTATGATGATTAAAATAATATTAAAAAGAGAGTGAGTTGATAGACTATTCTTGAATTATAAATATGAAACTAACGGGGACAAAATTGTAAATAATCCTTTTCGAAGAGAAGAAAGATATAATTTCAACAATTTTCTTTAATTATGAAAGAGAAATTTAAAATGGTTGATATTATATATCTGTTTGTGTAAAGTTAGTGGCAATAAGAGAGCAACATTTGGCAATGTGATTGGCCATACATCATATAGAGCTTTTCTGTCAATAAAAAAGCTACTTTTTTCACAGGAATTGTAAGTTAATCTCCCACTTCAAAAGCATTTTTGTCACTTTTTATCCAAAATTTAGTGTTTTTTAGGTCTTTCAATAAGTGGAAATGTAGACCATTTTACACAAGAGTCAGCCCTAATGCATTCAAGGTCCCACCAATGGAGATTGAGCCACTCAATTTGACAAAACCGTGTCACAAACACAGCTTTTACTTCTGGCTTTTAAGTAGATGTTTAGTACACAATATGAAAATCACTGTACAGTATAATAAATAAAATTTTAATTTTTTTTGTTCTTTATTGTAATCACAAATAAGTTGACAACAATCCGCAAAATGAAAACGTTCTAGATATTAAATTCCAAAAATGATCACGAAGTCTTTCACTTTTCTTTAATCTAACCTAGGATCGAGTGGCTATCTTGATTCGAGCATAAAAGCAACGTATCTAGAAACTTAGGGATCACTATATCATTGTAGAAGAATCTAGTAGGGCATTTGTGCAAAAGATCATTTTTCTTTCAAGATCGAACCACCAAAATCTCAAGCAACATTGAAATTTGAGGACAAACAATACTAGAAAACTTTATACTATTTAACAGCAGTGGTATTAGAACACTAATCTATGTGACATTATGTGATAAGTTCAATTAAAGGTAAAATTATACGATTCATTTAATTATATTATTCATTTAATGACATTTAGTACCACCTAGATTGGTGTTGTGCCTTTTTTTTTTTTTTTTTGAATATAGAAATGACTCAAAAGGTACAAAAGATAGAATGTGTGGATTAAAATTCATATTGGGGAAGAAAGTCCAATTGAAACTTTAGTTTTGATAATGATCAAGATAACCACATATCAAAGTATTAATAAAATAAAAACTAAGGATTACCCACTACAAGTTAGAAAAATCCCATAACCTAAAAGTCAATTCCATTTACTTTTGATTAATATTTGTCTGCATGTATAATTGACTTGAATTCTTCTACAAGAAGTTGGGACAAGCACTACTGAGTTTTCTTCCTTACTTCCACCGCAATTGATACAAAGATATCATACCGTGAAAAGAATATGTATCATAAGGAAAACATAGTACAAAAATGATAGTATGCCGAGCAATAAATTAATCATTGAATGTTGCATCCGCCAGAATCTTGTCCACGACGAACATTGCCATAGGCCGACAATTCAAGAAGGTCCATATCACGATCTGCAGCAATGGTGACAGCCATCATGATAATTCCAATGGAAATTCCATTGGGAATTTAAATTTATTCAAGCTCTCTTTGATATATTTATTTTGCATATAGATGCATTTCAGGTGGGGATCCTTTCTAAGTAATCAGTAAAACCTTCAAGAAATAATTACCTGAAACCCGGCAGTAAGCGCTCTTCTGAATAAGATCGGCTTTTGATAACTCAGTCCGATTCCCCTTGGAACGATTCACAGTTGCCTGACGAAACAAAAAGGTGATAGCACAAAACAGTTAAATAAAGAATAATGAAAAAAAATAAAATAATAATAATAATAATAATAAGGTTTAGAGGAGAGAGACGGATCTATAAATATTAATTCTGAAACTGTGTGGAGCTTAATAGTACAATGAACCAGCCAGCTACAAATTCATGACGAGTGCTTAGTCGAAGCTAATGATTTTTTTTTGTGTGTGTGTGTGTTTTTATGCAACATAATTGCATTGAATATAACATAACGATACTTTACTCACAAAGTGATATCCAAAAATGAAACTTCATCCACCAAAGTATTTTATGAATAATAAAATTACCTGTATAGTTAGCTAAAGACAATGATAATAATAACTACATAGTCAATTAAGGCCATTTTTGGTCCCCATTTTCTAAAACTCATTTTTAACCACACATTTTCCCAATAAAATAATTTTGCACGTAGAATAACTTTTTTCCTACTTTTTACCCCCATATTCTCAAAAAAAAAAATCACTTTTCACAAAATGTATTCTCAAAAAATCTCTACCAAATTTGACCACTTTTCCACTCCACAATGATGATAAACTTCCTCCGAGAAAAATAAAAAATACACTTCTTCTCTACCTGGAAGGTAAATAATAAACAAAATTTACAATATCAGAAATGAAAGAAAAATTGTGTATGAAGTCCCAACTAATTCAAACTGTTTGTGCAAGAGCAAACATTTTGTATCACTTTAAGTTTATGGATTTCTCCAAAACTATGAGCTTTCCGGAACGTATCTTTTTATTTGCATATAAAACAATTTCACGAGGTAAAACTCCAGTTGATAGTCAAAAAAAATGGCAAGCAGAAGAGGGGTATATAGATTCCAAATTAGCAAGTGTTCCAGATTCAATTAAAGAGATGCTAAAGGTACCTGTAAAACCTGACAATTTTCCAATGTGCTTTTTCCTCCCTGCAGATATTTGAAGCTAAATGTCATACATGTATCTCAAAAGAAAGCCAACTACATGAGGATTTTGCTCAGAAAAGAGAACGCCTTTCAAATGTAAGAGCTGATTAGTCTGATTTTAAGAACTGCATGGCAGAATAAGCAATATTCCTATCCACACTCAAGTTAGGACTCTCACTTTATCCGCACATAAATATGTGCATATGCATCCAAGTGTCTGCAGACTACAATATAAATGTATATACACACACAATAGGGAGGTCTAAATAGAAATCTAGCCAGCATTCAGCCACTCTAATTCAACATAGATCTGTGACTACAAAAAATGTTAATTAGAATAATAATGTCATAATGAATAAGCCTTCAATCCAACGTTATAACAAGTATCAGCCATAAAAAAATAAAAAAAAACACCAAAAAAAAAAGTGATTAAAATGGAACATTTGTGGGATTATCTAGTTTGTGCAGAATTTAAGTATTTATTTTCTGGTTAGTGGTTACTATAATTATTTTGTGTGATCCAAGTATTCAAAATTTGGAACGTTATATGAACAAATATAGAGGAAGAGATTACTATAATCAGGAACTAATATGGTGAGGAAACTGAAGATTTCAAAAGCATTATGACTGCTACAAGCTATTTATATGGAAAGAAAATAAGAGAAGGCATAAGAGGATGAGAAAATTGTTGCAGAACTTATTCAACAGATACTTGGCAATGTGAGAACCAAACCTGCCACTTCAAGTAATATTTCTCCAAGAGATTTTCTTTTTAAACACAATCCAATCCAAGTTGTATTCCAAGAGAAAATGAGAATCTGATATCGCTTTTAACTTGCCACAGAGTACATTGGTGTAAATGATTACATGCAGGCTAATTTGTGCTTGAAGTTGGTTAGTTTGGGGCTGCTTGTTTCAGAGTTAGAGAAGACATGACCTTCCTTTCTCCCTACCCACCCCCCTCAAAATCCATTAACTTCATCTTTATCATGAGCTGATGACATTAAGTTGAAACAATTCAAAGACAACGAAAATCCGATGGAAGCTTTATGTGTTCTTTTACATAGTAGCTAAGAGTGCTATTTCCTCTAAATGAACTACCTAGTGCTTCTGTATTAACTATAAAAATGGAAATGACTTCAAATAATAGTGCGAGATGAAACCATATCCACTGCTGCTATAACATGTGAATAGCATTTATAGCACACACAACATCAACACAAGGTTCCTTACACCTAAATGCAGCACTAATATCAATATCAATTCACCATCAAAACAACCCAAAATAGCCAAACCCACAATCCCAACAGCTCACACGTCAAAATAGAGATATTCACAGACACCCATCTATGCACATAACCACATGCATAGTGTACAAGTTAGGTTTTGGAAAATACAGCTCTTATCTTTTCATTGTGTGTAGGTGGTAGAATAGATGGGGAGAGAAGCAGGAGCAGTAGAATTTATGTTTGTTGTCCGAGAGTCGGAGACAACACTTTCGCTCGGCAAGGACGTCGAGGCAGTCTACAACGCGTTGAGTAGACAAGGAATGAGAGGACAATGTTTGGCCCGATTGATACGTTGTCATTTCTGATGGAGAAGAAGGGTGTGTCCTGTAGGGTTTGATTAAGTGAAGGGAATGGTAAAGTGAGGAGACATATCAATTAAGACCCAAATGAAGAAAGTATCTCCAGTTACTTTTATCTTCTTGGTGGTGGAGGTTGCAAAAGGCAAAATATCCTAAACAAAGAGAACATGTAGGGAGACGAAGATCTGTTTAGTCAGAGGATCCAAACAACAATAAGAATTTTGCTCCATAGGACATCCAAAGAAGACACTCAACCAGGATTTGGATTCAAGTTTATTGTTCGTTTTTAAGCTAAGGATAATGCAAGCACCCAAAAACCTTCAGTTTTTCATTATTTGGAACTTTACCAATAAGCTATTGAAACAAGTGGCTAGGTTAAACGGGTGTGGGAAGGCAACTTATTAAATACATCGCGCCTCTGTAGCTTGGAAAGTAATCACAAATAAAGTAAAGATAGGGATGCTTGACAAAATAGACTAAAAATTGTCTCAACAAGGGAAGGGCAGCATCTTTTAGCAATACCAACCAATTGAATGTGTAGTGGCAATAAAAGTTGTCAATGTCATGTTAAATAGTGTAGGACTAACTAACCCTTGATAGTCTACTTCTCCATCAAAATAAAAGTTTTAAGTAAAGTTCAAAAAATATTTTCCAACAAGAGACTCAAGAAGATCAAAGATTTATTCAACATTAGACTTTTGTTTCATCAAATATAACTAAGAATATTTAGCATAGTAATCAATGAAAAGCGCATTAGTATGTGAAATTGTCGAAAAAGGAAATAGGGGTTGAACCCCTAACATCGATATATCAGATTTGTAAAGGTTTAATGCACGATACTCAAGAAATTTAAAATGTTAAGTGATTACTCTTATTACAATGATATGAGTAACTATGACCTAAACTAGACGTAGAGAGTTTACCAACTCAACAAAACATGTTCTAAAATCATGAAGGATGGATGAAACTAATAGAAGCTTTGGTGGCGACAGGAAGAAGGAGAAGCTATGATTATGATGGTGTTGACAACGCCTACACTTTACCTTTATTCCTGTCTTGGACGAGTTCTTTCCTCAGTCTCGTGTCCAATTTTGTCACATGGTGCAGGATCCTAGGGGAGTTCTTAGGCTGCCATTGTTGGCCTTGACGATTGCCAAAGTTACCACCAAAATTACTGCCTTGCTTATTGTGATTACTTTTGCATTGACATTTATAATTGAAATTTCTTCTACCTCGAGTTGTTACTCTCTTTATTCTGTCGTCACCCTATTCTGTCGTCACCCAGTTGATTAAATTAATTCAGGAAGGGATTCTTCTTAGGTTGAGCCAGTTCAAGAAAACATGCTCCATCAACTTGTCATGGAGTTCTTTAAAGGTGATTGACTTATCCCTTGTTTGAATAGCCAAATTCAGTTGAGAGTATTCATCACCAAGACCAATAGGAACAGTGTGAATAAGTTCGTCATCAGCAAGTGGTGTGAGCCAATAAGAGAGTTTTTCGGCTATATCTTCCACATCATCCTTCTAGTCTTACCCACAGAGTCATTACATGCTTACAGGGTTCGGCTAGCATAGGACTTCTCAAGTTTAGACCACGATTCAACAGTTGTTCCAAAAAATTGGATCATGATAACAATTCAATCTTCAACCGAGCAAATCAAGGCATTAAATAAGAGATTGTCTCGCCTCTTCCAATGTCTGTATTTCGGGTTTGGTGTGGTGCTTCGCTAGGCATGGCCACGGCAATAATTAGGTTTGGACAAGGAAAAGAGCCATCTAAAAGCACTAAAGATCATAACCATAAATAGCTTTCCAATTTGAACATGCCATGCGTGATAGTTGGATGCACCAGTAAGTTTGATGGGAAGTTGAGTTGTACAATTGATAAAAATGATTCTATCATCATTAGAGTTTATAACAATATGATGGATGACAATATGATAAAAAAAAGGAACCAAAGGATGTTTTTGACGTAGTTGTGTGGTTCCCTTGTAGCATACAAGTAAGTCTATCTTCATTGAGTGTTTTCGGTTTCAATATTTCCAAGGAATGCAGATTCTAAAAGGTTTCCTCTTGTGTGACAAAACAGGATATTGACAAAGCCAAATATATGAAAATAAAATGATAAGAAAACCGCCGATTTTAAAGTGTAAAGATCTTTTAATGCAAACGAAAAACCACGGGACCATAGTCCACTTCAACTTCTAAAGTATCACAAATAACGGGATTACAAGATTCACAATAACATCAAGAATAAAAATAATTTTTTGCCTAACTATAGGCACTCACTCTCTCTATTTTTCTTTCTACACAAAATAGAGTTCTTTCACAATTTTATCTCTAATCTTTCTAGTAGAGGCTCTCTAAATTGTTACTTAAATTATGAAACTCTCACCATATTTATAAGAAAATATTGGCGCTTAGTAGCCTACAAATCTAGTTAAAAAATTCAAAAGTTTGGACTTGATAAAGAAATGGCAAATCTAAATTTTTTCTTCATTTCATACAGCTAATGCTTGTCGTTTATCTAAATAATTGCAGTTAAGTTCTTCTCATGTTTTAGTGAATTATTTAGGCAAAATTCACCACTCCAGCACATGTTTTCAAATTATTGTATGCAATTTTATCTTTATTGGTTGGAAGAAGACAATTTGAATTTTACTTCATTTTCTTGTCAAACATCTACACCTTTATGTCAACAATAATGGCAGTCATAATCTTCATTTACTAGAAGAAGCAAATTGGTTTTCTCTTCCTTGAATATTTGATAAAATTTATAGCAAAATTGGTTTTATCTACCCTACATGTGGCGGACACCCCAACAAATCTTCCCCTCCGCCTCATGTAGTGGGTTCTACCAAACCCGCTTCTCGGCACAAGCTTCGAGCTTCTCCTTAGGCAATGATTTCATCAACATATCCGATCTATTATTGCTAGTATGAATTTTCTCTAAATTCAACATCTTTGCTTCAAGTACATCACGAATCAATGGTACCTGACATCTATATGCTTTGATCTATAATGAAATGTTGAGTTCTTAAATAGATGAATAACACTTTGACAGTCACAATAAACAACATACTTTTCTTTTTGTAATCTCAATTCTTGAAGAAATTTCTTCATCTACAAAGCTTCTTTACGAACTTCAGTGATGGCAATATATTCAGCTTCTATGGATGATAGAGCTACACTTTTCGGCAACTTGGACTGCTAAGAAACAACTCTCCTTGAAAAGGTCATCAAGAATCTTGATTTCGACTTCCTAGAATCACTATCACCTCCCATATATGCATCTGTGTATCCATCAAACACAAGTTCACCACTACCAAAGCACAAACACACCCTGGAAGTACCTCTTAGATACCTAAGTATCCATTTTACTGCTAACCAATGTTCCGTGCCATGATTTGAAAGAAATCGATTGACAACTCCAACGGCACAAGTAATGTCTGGTATTGTACACATCATAGCGTACATAATGTTGCCAACTACAAATGCATAAGATACTTTGCTCATTTCTTCCTGTTCTTTCTCACTTGTAGGACATTGTTTAGTTGTCAACTTGAAATGACCTACAATTGGAGAAGAAACGGTTACCTTACACATGATGAATCTTTCAAGAACTTTTTCAATATAGTTTTCTTGAAATATCCACAGTTTTTCGTTCTTCCTATCGCGGGATATTTTCATGCCGAGAATTTGTGTTGTTGATCCCAAGTCTTTCATTGCCAAAAACTTAGCTCCTTTTTAAGTTTGGCAATCTTGTTTACGTCTTGACCAACAATCAACAAGTCGTCAACATATAGTTTACGAATAATATAATTATCATCCGCAACTTTCTTTACAAATACATTGTGGTCTGACGTTGTTCTGTTGTATCCCTAACTAGTCATAATGTGATCAAACTTCTGTGTTATTTTACTAATAAAGCTTGGTACAAAATGAATGAAGAGAACCAATTTTGCTACAAATGTTAGCATATATTCAAGCAAGAGAAAATCAATGTTGCTTGTTCTAGCAAGTGAAGATTATGGGCAGTCATTATTGTTGACAGAAAGGTAGAGATATTTGACAAGGAAACGAAGTAAAATCCAACCTGTCTTCTTTCAACTAATGAAGATAAAATATTCAATAATATTGAAGATACGTGCTGGAGTGAAGAATTTGCCCAAGTAAATTCACTAAAATATGAGAACTTAGCCGCAATTATTTGGAGAATTATCAGACACCAGCTGTATGAAATGAAGGAAGAAATTCAGTTTTGTCATTTCTTTATCAAGTCAAAATTTTTAAATTTTTTAACTAGATCTGTAGGCTGCTAACTACCAATATTTTCTTATAAATATAGTTAGAGTTTTCATACTTAAGTGACAACTTTGGAAAACATCTACTCGAGAGATTAAAGAAAATTGTTTGTGTAGAAAGAAAAATAATAAAACATTTTATCTTAATCTTTAATTGTCCCGACCTCATTTTTTTCAACATCAGCACCACCAACATCATCTTCTTCATTCTCATTAAAATAACACCCTCCAACTCTGGCTCGTCTAATATAAATTAGCAATCCAAAGTAGTTCAAAACCTCCAAGAATATCAAATAAGTGTTTGACAATGTCCCACATTTTGGATTCTTCTTTTAAATAGAGATATAACCCTTGTTTGATCTTCATTATTTCCAATATACACTTTTCTTTTTTTTTTTCAACCACACATTTTTCAATAAAATAATATTACACGTAAATCCAAAATTTTCCCTTATTTTTTAACCACACATTTCCTATCAATCTACTATTCCAAAATGCATTCTCAGACATCTAATTTTCTTGATAAAAGACGCAGATTGCTATAAATAAAAATCTATTCTTCAGCTCGCTGCGACATTATTTTATTCCTTCTCATAAAGTGCACAAAAGAATATATACTCCAATTTCTTTCAACATAAGACGAAGAAGAAGAATGAACGAGAAGTTTCAAAACAATGCTTTGAAGCAAAGATGCACGTGAACCAAGAAGTAGCCACAAAACATATGAATCCATATTATATCGATTAGTGATAGAATCAAACTCAGCAATAACATTTTCCTTCACGTATCCTACCCAATGTTATCAAAATCGAACTAGATCAGTTGGTTTAACATTCTTCTTCACATGTATTAACCAATGTTATCGAAGTCGAACCGAACCGATCGGTTGAACCTAAAAAATTGAAAACCGGTCAAATATCCGATACGATTAATGCTCAAAACCCAATTCATCTAAAATCGGTAAAAAAAAAAAATTAGTATATTCGTCTATTAACAGTAAAATCGGATGAACCAGAACCAGTTTTGCACGTTGGTTGATTTAAAAATTATTATTTCAAACAAAACATTGATTGCATTTAAAGGCCCATAACATATAATTGAAAGTTGAAACACTTGTTAGCCCACATAGTTATAGCAATCATCTTCCAAGGTTTTGGTACGTGATTCATTTGGGATTCAGAACAAAAGCTTTGTTGGTAAATAATTTTCCAATTATAAAAGTTGAATAAATTAAAAGTCAATAGCTCTATTAAACAAAAGGATAATCATGTTAGTGTAAATTATTTATCTCTTCAAACTAATTTCTTTTTTTTTTTCAGTTTCATTCCGATTTATGTGATTTTTTATTTAATTTTATTACATTGGCACAATAAAATACAATAAAAGTATTAAAAAATTCACCATATGACAAAATAAAAATTAAATATACCCAAATTTAATCATTAATGGGTGCTTTTGTGTATATATATTAATTAATTAGAAAAATTAACTTAATTTTGTCAATTGTTGTGGTATATAAAATTTATTTATTTAATATAACCGGTTGGACCTCGGTTTAATCCCAGTTCAACCTTTCAATCATTGACCCTTTAGCTTTTCAGGTCAACATTCGGGTTGGTTTTCAAAACTTTAGAGTGTGTTTGGGACACATTTTTTTGAAAGAATGTATTATCAAATAGTAGATTGATGGAGAATATGTGATTAAAAAATAAGAAAAATTTTGGATTTACATGTAATATTTTTTTATTAAAAAATGTGTGGTTAAAAAGAAGAGAGAAAAATGAAAATCAATAAAACTTTAGAGTGTGTTTGGGACACATTTTTTTGAAAGAATGTATTATCAAATAGTAGATTGATGGAGAATATGTAGTTAAAAATGAAGGAAAAGTTATTGATGTGATGGAAAATATTATTTTATTGAAGAATGGGTGATTGAAAATTAGTAGAAGAATGAAAATGAAAAAAATAATGTATACCAAACAGAGCCTTAGTCCTAAAGTATCAAATATATATAAAATAATTAAAAATCTACAAAACAATTAAAATATATGTATTCGATACATATCAAAAAATTGAAAAAAATATAAAATAATTAAAAGACATGTATCCGGTACGTATTGAAGGGTATCGGAGAGTATACAAGCCTGATTACATATCAAATACGGGTACGTAATCAATTTATAAGTATCTGTGCTTCTTAGATTGTGAGTCTTGTATTATTTGTGATATAGTGGATGTTGAAGTAGACTACAGTCCTATGGCTTTTCTTTTGCAATAAAAGATTTTTACATGTTAAAATCAACATTTTTCTTTTAAACTATTTTCATATCTTTGACTTTGTTAATATCCCATTTTGTAGTAGACGATTTTTCCCCAATAGAAACCAAGTTTTATTAGTAAAATAACAGTAACATCAGAAATCAAACAAAATAAGTAACTTAAAAGTAAGCAAAATCACTAATCAAACATGATGTTGATAAGATTAAACAAAAATACATCTTGAAGCTCGAAATCACCTTAGAGTAAGGAATGATGTGGTCATAATCATGACAAAGGCAACCGGGGCAGCCCACAAGCTTCCTAAACACAGTGTTCCCCAACGGGTCCCGACGCCATCGATCCGGGTCACGACCCTTGATTTTCTGTGCTTTTTCCCAGCATTGCTGCTTCACACTGTACGGGAAGCTTCTCGGATTCACGTTCGGTTCCGGTGAGATTCGGAGGCTCTCGAATATTGCGAGCTCTTCGGTCACAAGCCCGCGGTCAAGAAGTGCGGCTGAGGAAGGTGAAGTGCGTGAACTGGTTGGATCTGATCCGATTGGGCTCGTGGGTCGGGTACTGGTTGGGGAGGAACCAGTTTTGTTTCTTCGTTTGTACTCTGTTTTTGGCCTCATTTTTAGATTCAAAAGATCAGAAACTCAAAAATACTTTTGTATCATTTTCATAATTATACGGGAAATTACTATTTTGGCTCTCGAGTTTTTTACATATTTTTATTTTGATCCCTAAGCTTTTCAATTGTATCATTTTAGCTCCATATTTTATTCAAAATATGCATTTTCTGATTACCAATGGATTTCATTCTAACAGAGGCTTTTTCTTTGTCTTAACTTTTAAAAAAAGTGACCGTTTTGGTCACTGTACAACAGTCACTGAACTATCAAAAGTGGCCATTTTGACCACTTTAATTTTTTCCTTCTTTTTTTTTACTCAATATATATCCCAAACCATTTTCAATTTTTTTCAAATAGCATTCCAACAACAATTCTCACTCTCTTCCACATTCTACAATAAACTACATTCATTTTTACCTTCAATTTCAAATAGTCAATATCAATTAATATTACAAATTTACAATTACAATCTTATACATAAACTTTATTTGAATTCTTGATTTTTTTTTCCATACTTTTTATTTACTTAATTACTTACTATACAGTCTATACTATATAAATTATAATATATATTCTATACATTTCACAATTCATAAATGGATCCACACTCATTTATTGACGGCTTGTTTGGTATCGGAGGCGAATCATCTATAACGCCGCAAAGTCAATTTCAGAATGAATTTGTCAATTTCAACGAAGTACACATTCTCGAAAATATTCCAAATTTGAATGCTCGCGAAAGTAGTAATTCAATTGATTTGGATGACGTTAATATTCCCGAAGCGGAACATAATGAATTTGATATTCCAGATAAAAGAAGGAAGAGAAAGGGGAAAAAAAGGCAAAATGTTGGGATCACTTTAAATTGATTCCAATTGGTCGTGCAGTCGATAGAGTGGCAGAATTTAAAGTAGTATGTAAATATTGTAAACAACTATTAGCATAGCAAAATGGCATTGGTACACCCACATCAACCATCACTACAAAGCATGCGCGGAAAAACATGGGCTTCTTGACGCTGTTCAAACGCAACTGTAATTTGGTAGTCCAACAGTCGATTCTGCTTCTACGACACTTTCTACGTGGATGTATTCGAAGGAGAAAGATCGAATGGGAATTGTGAAGTTTGTTGCCGATGTTGAGTTGTTTCTAACAATAGCGGACAACCAACATTTCGTCTCCTACGTGAAAGAATATCTTCAACCGATGTACGTTGAGATAAGTATAAACATTTTTCGTTCCGATACAATATAATATTTCATTAATACAAAGAAACAATTGATTACCGATTTACAAAAATATGGTGGTTTTATATCTTTAACTTCGAATTTATGGAAGGGGATTTGATGTAGTACATCACAACTACAATTGATAGTTTCACTTTATTTAGGAGTTTGTCTTTTTTAAATTATCTTTTCTAATTGTAATAGGTTTAAATTTTATTTAGATTAGGATTAGTATATTTCCTTTTAAAATTTAGTTTTCTTATTTTAATTTCATTTTATTAATAGGATTATGGATAATTTGGCCTATAAATATAGGGGTATTGTATACTTTTTAATCAATCAATCATATATCAATTCAAAGCAATATTATTCAAATAGGATTCTTATTTTCAATTCTTATTACAAGAGTTTCTAAACGCTTCCGCACCAAAATTGGTATCAGAGCA